GGTCTCCCATGGGGTGCAGGGCCCAAGCACCTGGGCCATCCTCCACTGCACTCCCTGGCCACAGCAGAGAGCTGGCCTGGAAGAGGGGCAACCGGGACAGAATCCAGCGCCCCGACCGGGACTAGAACCCAGGGTGCTGGCGTCGCAGGCGGAGGATTAGCCTAGTGAGCCGCGGCGCCGGCCTCACCCTCTTTCAAAGTCATTAGTTTCAGAGACTGCACAGGGGACCCTGTGAACACAAAAAAAGCTCAGGAGAGTTGGATGCTGAGGGGAAATCAAGTGCAGGGGCCGGACTGCGGCATGGGAGGGGCATCCAACAAGTGACGTCCGGGTACTCACAGATCTTGGCGAACACGGCATTGATCACACACTGGATGAAGACCAGAGTTAAGGCAAAGGTGAACGTCTCCTGCTTGGCCCCCTCCCCATACTTTCCTCTTGTTCTAAGGACGAAACGCATAAGAGAAGGGAGAAATGAGTGTATTTCCTTCGCTGGCATCTCCTGGGGCCGGGGCCAGAGCTCTGAGGTTCTCTTGTTTCTCTCCATGCAAGTGGAGTTTGCAAAGATCTCTGGGCTCATTTACAAAAGGAGTCAATTTTCCTGGACGTGGAATGCAGACAGCCCAGCCTGCTGCCCCCACAGCCTTGGGAGAGCAGTCCGTGAAGGACGGAGCCCGAGGAAACGGGGAATATTGGATTGGGAAACAAGGTACCCCAGGGAGGACGAGAAGGTGGTATGTGGGGGTATGGCAGCAAGGCCAAGGGCGGAAAAACAGGCTGCCTGCAAGGATCTGGGAGGTCAAAGAGGAGCTGGCTCAGGTCAAGGCGAGAAGTCTGATCTGTTCGGGGTGGACATCTTAGACCGTAAAACCCAGGCCCCCGGAACCCACAGAGGAGATACCAGCTAAAGGAAGAGAAATGACCAGGTCCCGGAAAACCAAAGGCCAATTCTGGCGTCGGGGAGACTCGGCCGCGGCTACAAAGAGCAAGCCGGGTGCTAGAAGGCAAGAGACCCAAGCACGAGAAAAAGAGGAAGGCCTGGGGCCAGAGGCGGGAGACCTGAGAACCGGGCCACCGGGTGGGACGAGGGGGCTGGACCAGGGGGAATGTCTGACCACCCGCGCCGGGGGTCGGCTCACATCTTTTCCTGCAGGATCCCATAGTAGAAATAGCAGACAAAGACGCCCAGGAAGCAGAGAGGCAGGCGCAGCCGGTCGGGCACCAGGGAGCTGCTAGCGGCCATGAGACGCCCGGAGGAGCCCACCGGAGACCCGCTCACAGCCGGCAGCGGCAGCGGCGGCGGCGGAGGCGACAGCTCCAGTCGGACATCGCCGACCGGCGGCAGGGGCCTCATAGGAGCTGCATGCGACCGTCGCTCAGTAGGGCCCAGCAGTCACCGCCAGAGCTGCCAGCTTAGGGCTGCCGGGGAGGAACTTCCTCAGAACCCAGCAACTGCTTCCTGGGGAGGAAGACCGGCCGTGGGAACTTGGCTCCATTCCTGGTGGCGAGGGGAGCTGGGAGTCTCGAGGCTAAAACCTCACCCTCGAGATTTTTCCGATCAGGCAACTCCGAGGACAACTATGACGCGGAGCGCTAGGGGGTGCCCTAGGAGGCACCCGGGCGCGGAGTGATGACGCACATGGATGTGGAGTTCAGCAATTGGCTACGGGGTACGAAGTGCGCTAGGTGGGCGGGGAAGGAGGCGGTGCAACCGGCAAGAGCGAATGAAATAGTCTTTTTCGCTGTTGGCAGCCAGGCTTCTGTTGGGTCCTAACGCCAAGGCAGTCTTCGTGGAGCCTGAGCGCCCTCTAGCTGCTGCCCAGCGCCAGCGACCCTACCCGCTCCTTCCAGGTCTGGCCTCTGAGAGCGGTTCCCCCACCCAAGGCTCATCCTTGGGCCCCCAAGAGGGAGGGCGCCCCCGTGAGCCTCTGCTAGGTCAGGACTCTCAGCCCAGCTGTGTCGCTGAGAGGCCGGCTAACCCACGCGTGTCACCTAGGTTCTGAGCCAGTTTTTCCCAGTCTGTAAATGGGGGTGATCAGTAAAAGCCGCCCTGTGGCCTCGCTTCTGATGCTCAGATGAGCTTGTTCATTGTTTTTCTTTTTTGCCATAGTGTTTCCTACACTCTAGGGTGTTGTCCTGGTTTAAGGGATTCTTTGTCATGGCTCTTTCTCAGCTCTGGTCCTACTTCCTCACATCCAGGACGTGGAAATGGAAGCTGATTGAAGTGAATTTTCTTCAAGGCCTTAACAAGTCACCAACAATGGAGCAAACGCCTGGGTTTTGCCCTCTGGATTCTTTCTGATCAGTGCGCACCTTCGTACAAGTGCCGGGTCTGCACCTGCTGGCACTAACGGCTAGGGCTCCCCGGACCCAGCGCTTCCACTGCCACCCACCCTCCCCTCACCCCCCACTCAATAACTGGCCCCAGTCTCAGGCCGCCGTGGACTCCGGGCTGCAGTCTGGGCAGAGGCTCCTTCTCCTCAAGCCTGGGCCTTTGGCATAGCCTCAGGCAGAGGAAGGAAACGCCGGGCAGCACCACACCCATCACTCTGGGCCTGACTCAGAGGCTTTGAGGGCAAGCCAGGCTTCTGTAAGGGATGGAAGACAGGGTTGTCCTCTGCCCACTGTCTTCTATTAGTGGGGGCCAGCGCGGGGCAGACCCTACGCATTCACTCTCTTGCTCAGTGGCACCAAGCAGCTGCTGGGGTGAGAGACCTGGGTCTGCCTCTTGACCAGCTAAACCTCAAGCAATTCCACTTGACTTCTGGGTCACATTTCTTAATGGGAATATAGCAACACAGAGCACAGCGGTGTGGTTGGAGGCATAGGTGCTGGACTCGAATGATCGGGTTTCCCAGACTTTTGTCCTTCCGTCGTTAGTACAGTGGGACTTGGCACTTTTTTTTTTTTCTTAAAGATTTAGTTTTATTTGAAAGGCAGAGTTAGAGACAGAGGCAGAGAGGGGTCATCCAGCGGCTAGAGCTGGACTAGATCTGAAGCCAGGAGCTTCTTCCAGGTCTCCCACACAGGTGCAGGGGCCCAAGCGCTTGGGCATCCTCTACAGCTTTCCCAGGCCATAGCAAAGAGCAGGATAGGAAGTGGAGCGGCTGGGACACGAACTGGTGCCCATATAGGTTTATGGCACTGCAGGCCATGGCTTTACCTGCTATGCCACAGCTCCAGCCCCAACATTTCTTTCATTATTCAGACGTGTATCCAGTGTCTGGTGCTTCCTGGGTCAACTAATGGCCACTGGGACAGCCTGGCTTCGGGCTGTGTCATGAGATCTTGAACACAACTGTACTTCCTGTGCGTGTCCTTGGGGGGCTCAGCTGTCATCCTCACAGCAGGGACAGTATGTCCTTTGTGAGTTCCAAGGTACTGTCAGAATGTTGGGGTGCTTACTCCTGTTGGCCCCCAAAGCCTAAGAGCACGATCAGCTGGGAGGCTGCTGGGGACCCTCCAGGGTGGCACTGAGTGGCGAGCACTCACTCAAGTGGCGAGAATTCCTAGAAAGAGTGGAGCTACAGCCGCGAGCACAGATCCCGCCCGAATACCATTCCCTGCTCTCATTCGAGTCCCTCATTTCCTCCTGAAAGTCTTTCTCAGGCTCATGGAAGAATGGGCGACTTCCTGTGCCTCCCCCAAGCCCCACCAGGCCTTTCATTCAGGACCAACTTCTACTGGTCAATGGTTTATGGAAGGACTTCCAAAAGTTCAGGGAAAGTAGAGTTAAAACATAAGCTTATGGGGGCCGGCGCCACGGCTCACTTGGTTAATCTTCTGCCTGTGGTGCCAGCATCCCACATGGGTGCTGGGTTCTAGTCCCGGTTGCCCCTCTTCCAGTCCAGCTCTCTGCTGTGGCCTGGGAGGGCAGTGGAGGATGGCCCAAGTGCTTGGGCGCCTGCACCCACATGGGAGACCGGGAGGAAACACCTGGCTCCTGGCTTCAGATCGGCGCAGTGCCAGCCATGGCGGCCATTTGGGGGATGAACCAACGGAAGGAAGACCTTTCTCTCTCTAACTCTGTCAAATAAAAAAAAAAAAAAAAGATAAGCTTGTGTTGTACAAAACTGAAACCCATGCACGTGAGTGGTCTTGCTCGTGGAAAATGAGAACACTGGGCATGGATTTCAAAACTTTTTGCACCAAAATACTTTTTTTTTTTTTGACAGGCAGAGTGGACAGTGAGAGAGAGAGACAGAGAGAAAGGTCTTCCTTTGCCGTTGGTTCACCCTCCAATGGCCGCCACGGCTGGTGCACCATGCTGATCCGATGGCAGGAGCCAGGTACTTATCCTGGTCTCCCATGGGGTGCAGGGCCCAAGCACTTGGGCCGTCCTCCACTGCACTCCCTGGCCACAGCAGAGAGCTGGCCTGGAAGAGGGGCAACCGGGACAGAATCTGGCGCCCCGACCGGGACTAGAACCTGGTGTGCCGGCGCCGCAAGGCGGAGGATTAGCCTAGTGAGCCGCGGCGCGGGCACCCAAAATAAACTTTTAATTCAAGTTTTTCCTGACCTTTTTAAAAATAAGATTTGACAGGCAGAGGGAAACAGAAAGAGATCTTCCATCCTCCGTTCACTCCCCAGACGGCTGCAGGTTCTGGCTGAAACCTGCAACTCCATCTGGGTCTCCTAAATGCATGGCAGGGGCCCCAGCACTTGGACCATCTTCACTGCTACGCCAGGCGCATTAGCGGGGAGTCGGATTGGAAGCAGATCAGTCAGGACTCAATCCGGAGCTCTGATACGGGGTGCCTGCGATAGCTTAACCCGTTGTGCCGATGCGCCAGCCCCTTCCTTGAGCTCTCCGAAATGCCCTTGTTTGTCACGTAAGGAGCCCAGGCGTAGTGTTGGGAGGACGGGAAATGCTACGGCCATCCGCACGACACACCTGCATCACTTGGTGCGAACAGAAGCCTCCTTGGCTCGAGGACACGGAGCAGGTGACCAATGTAATCCCCACAGTCTCCAGCCAAGTATTTAACACAGGCGTGGGCTGCTGGGAATACTTATTTATTTTGTCTATTTAACACCAAAATCTGCCAAAAACAAAATGAAAACCTCTAAACACAAGGTAAAGAAATTCGAACATTAACATTCTTCAATTTTGTGTAAGCTCTGCGGTACGGAAAATATACAAACTTCAAACAGCTGCAAAAATAGTGTCTTTGGGAGAAAATAGAGTTTCTACATTGGTACGAAAAAAATAGGCATTTTCCTAATCCAGCCCAGCCCTGGGGTAGGCGGAGGGGAAGAAGACCAGTTCTCCCCGTGCCCACCGCCCGCCCACCGCCGCCCGGGGCTGCGCTGGGCTGCTGCTAAGACAATCTTTAGTCGGGGTGAGAGCGAGATGAGAATGCCCATGGGAAACACCTGCTTCCCTCTCCAGCAGCTGCACTGGAAGTGTCGGGCCCTGCAGGGCAGCTTTGGTCAACCCCTCCAACGAGAAGGGAGGCCTGGGGAGGGGGCCTCTGCCTTCCGCCCTCCTCGCCCGTGTCTGGGGAGCGGGAAGAGGGAGGAGGCGTGTGGCATCTCCTCTCCTTTGGTGGCGGCCGCTGGCTCCGTGACAAGGACGGGGGTCGCCGCTACAGTCGTCTGGACGCACACCCAGGGTGGGGGGACGCGAGGCCTTCTGGGCGAGTTTTCTGCCAAGTGAGAGAAGCGGCAGGGACACAGGTGTGAGTTGTGAGCTGCCAGGCCGCTAGTGGAGAAGGCAGGTTCCCTCACCTGAGGAGGGCCGGTGTCCACCTGGGGGAGGACCCGGGGCTTTGACACAAGAAACGAAAGTGCTCAAAGGCCGAGAGGGCAGCCCCCCCACCGTGGGGCCAGGGGAGCGCGGGAGGGGCCTGCCACCAAGGCACTGGTCTCCGCGGTAAAGTGAGTGGTGGTGCCCTCAGACCACCAGGGAGCTTTGGAACAGCACGGGGTCTTCAGATGGTGGGGTGCGCTGCCATGGCTCAAATGGCAGGGGCGAGGCCTCTGGCTCCTTCCGAGGCGGCGCCCTGGGAGACCCCGGGCTGGAGGGGCAGTTGCGGAAGATGAAGCCCATGCCGGGGAAGAGGGGCTTCATCAAGCTGACGGGGCAGAAGGCAGAGCCGGTCGGGTTGAAGTGGACTTTGTTCTTGTCCGGACAGGAAGTCAGGAAGGCCAGGTCAGGCCCCGGGGACCTGCAGAGCAGAGGGAGACACGGCTGGTGAGAGAAGTGAGCTACGTGGCCGTGGCCGGGCAGCAGGGGAGCCTGAACGGGAGCGGAACCGGCCCCAAACCCAAAAGGTTCAGTCCCCAAGCCCTTCGCTCTTCAGTGTTCATGGCTATGCAACAGGAAATACTCTGCAGCCAGAGAGGATGGGGCCACACAGGGAGGGCTTCCCAGCCCTGACTGTACAGGAGCCCGGGACTCTCCACTGGAGCGGGCAGGGCGCGGGGCAGGCCACTAGCCTGCAAGCAGACGTCTGGGCGGTGACTTCCTAGGACAGTGGCCTAAAGCGGGCTTCTCAGCCTCAGCACCGCTGACATCCTGCGCTGGGGTGGGGGGTCACACCTCCCAGGTAAGCCGGGTTCTGTGCTCACTTCTCCCCTTGTGAGAGTCATCAGCCCTGGCCTCCGCACGTTTGGGGAGGATGGGCGATGATGTCAGGGGGTCCCTGAGCAGACTCGGATGAAACAAGAGGAGAGGGCCTGGCTGTGCCTAGAGGGTGGGATCGCCCCGAGAAGCTGCTGCCTGGAGAATCCGAGGGGAGAAGACAGATGTGTAGAAGATGAGGAGGCCCTGTCACTCACGGTTCCTAATGGTTACCTTGACCTTTGAACTTTCCAAAACATTGTTATTTGAAAGGCAGAAAGAAAAACCAAGAGACAGAGAAAGATCTTCTGTTCACTGCTCATCCCCGGTTGTCACAATATCCAGGGGTGGGCGAGGCTAAGACCAGGAGTCACGAAGTCACTGTGGGTCTCTATGGGCGGCAGGGACCAAAGTGCCTCCTGGGGTGCACACTGGCAGGAAGCTGGAATTGGAAGTGGAGCTGGGGCTGAGACCCAGGCACTTTGATACGGGACATGGGTGTCCCAAGTGGCATTTTCACCACTGAGCCAAAAGTCCACCCCCTTTTTTACTTTTTTATTGAAGTATGACATAAACATAGAAAAGTGCACTCAGTATACAGGCTGATCACTCTCCTTTTTAATTCTAGATTCTAATAATTCCAAGGCCCAGGAAGAAGAGAAAGATGTGAGGAGAGAGCAAAGGCCTGGCCCAGAGCGAGAAGTGGGACGGGCACAGGCCGGCCCCAAAACTCACGTAGGGTGTGTGAGAAGGAGACCAAGCAACACTCCAGGTGCTCTGAGGGGGGACAGCAGTTAGGAAGGGGACAGTGTGGCACAAGTCCCTCAGATAAAAGAACCCCCCAACTTAAAGCTGAGAAAGACCCCAAGGAGCTGTGGAGTGCCAGCCCCAGGACAGCTCCTCCCTCAGCGCTAACCAAGGCAGGAAGGCGGAGCAGCGGCTGCGCGGGCTTTCCTGCCATCACCAGTCTGCAAAGGGATCGAGGGCAGCCAATCCCAGTGTCCACCAGAGCTCCGGGTTGTCCTGGCCTGGCCACCACACGGGTCGAGGGAGGGTCCAGGAGCCTGGAGCCCGTGTAAGCTACAGGGTCAGGACCCGGGGGCCTGAAGGGAGAGCAGGCAACAGTGCTTGCTACCCTGGTGGCAATGGTTTCCTCAGCTCCTACCCTGAGTCATATCCTCTCCCTGACTCGGGATGCAGACGGCCCGCAGTGCCTGCCACCCGGTCCCGGCGAAGTATGCGCGCACACCATGACTGCCGTCCTGACTGCAAAGGAGACCACGGCTTCCAGGGGGAACCTGCCCCGGCAGGAGCTCAGTGGGGCCAGGCGGAATGAGCTCCATGGCACCTGCTAAGGGAGGCTGTGTGGGTGAGGACTGGCTCTCCATTCTCTGCTAATGCACAGAACTACAAAGACATCAGTAGAAGGATGGCCTCCGAATCAGCCAGTCTGCTTTGGGAATATTCCATAGCCCTTCCTTGCAAGGACTGGAAATTTCTGTTGGGGAGTTCATGAGACTTGGAGCAGCACAGCCACAGGGTGAAGACTTGACTCAGAGGCAACCCCCATTCCTCTCTCTCTGAAGGTGGAAAAAAATGACAGGAACAAAGGGCTTAGGTTTCAGATCTCTTCCCTTTCCAGTTCCTGCTGTTGGTGGCTGGCGTGTGGGCAGAGAGCAGGTTTCTATGGAGATAACGATAAGCACAGATCTGAGCGCTCAGAGTAGGTAATGTGGACAAGTTTGATCCCGGAAAAGCTGCGATACTGGCCCCAGCGTGGAAGCACCCCCAGGACCCGAAGGAGTGAGGACTGCAGAGGGCTGTGGGGGTGACTGCGCCGGCTCGCCCCCCGCCCTGCCCGTACGCGGCACTCACGTGGCCTCTTCAAACACACGCACTCTCTCGCAGCCTTCCGGGGGCTCCCGTTTGAAGACATAGCTGTGATTGGGCCGAGGGGAGGCGGCGAAGGCGAGGACTGGAGACGGGCTGCCATCTTCAAGGAAGGCTGGGCGGCCTGGAGAGGAAGCTGCAAGCAGAGCCAGGCCTGAGTCCCAGGAGACAGGGTGTGTGTGTGTGTGTGTGTGTTTGTGTGCAGGTGTGTGTATGGGTGTGTGCATGGATGTGTGTGCAGGTGTGTGCGTGCATGTGTATGGCTCTACTCTTCTGTGCTGGCCTTGGGGGTAGAGGGGCGAGGCTGGGAGACCCCGGATGAGGAAGGAGGCAGCGGTGGTGCTGACCCGGCTTGTCTGTCCTATGATCTACCTCTGAAGAGCTTTCAAAAGGCCCACACGTAACAGAATAAAAACCCACGGCAGAATTCACAGGAAAAGAAGGTCTCCGAGCAATTCTACATTCCCAGGAGGTGGACCAGGATTCCAAATCACAGACTTCAAGGAACGCTAACTGCCCTCTCTCTCTGCCCTCTTCCAAGGCCACAGCGCCCCGCCTGCCGGCACCTTCCCTTCCACAGCCCGAGAGCCTCCCCCTTCCCGGAAGAGCTCTCAGCCTGACTCAGAAGCATGCTTTACTCAGCCCCACCTGGAGGCCAACATTCCTCTCACCTTCCACACTGCCAACACTGAGCCTAGGTTGCAAATATTGACTTTCTCTGTATTTAACTCACACTTACTCCCTCTTACCCTCAATCTCTCTGCCTGTGTGTTTTGTTAGATCATGTCACAGGGTTGCCATGACAATCAAATCAGACGCAGCAGGCTACAGTGCTTGCTACCCTAGCGATGGAAACCAGGTGGCAGGCCTACTATCCAGTCCTCTGGGTGAAGCAGCCAGGGCTGGTACAGAGTGGAGACTGGGAGTCAGAAGTCTGGGCTCTGGTCCGGGTCAGGCTGCGTGATCCTGGACAAGGCACTGCACTGCCTGATTTTCTATCTGTGGTAACCACGTGCAAGGCCACTGCTAGCCACGACTAGGTGGACACCTGCGTCTCAGGGACGTGCTGGCTTCCACGGCAACCTCCGGAGCAACCCCAGCCATGCGATGGGAGGGCAGGGGCTGCTTCTCTAGGTTCCAGGGAGGATTAAGTAAGAGTACAGGTGCAGAAACTTTTATGGACCAGAACATGATGGACAGGGCCGCCATTACTGTCGGTATGGTGTGCAGCATGAAGATGATCCAGAGAGCGATTCTGGTTGGGAAAAACAACTCTCGCAACGATGCCCCTTCCGTACCGAGTCGGCCCCGCTGCCTTGGCCTCCGCAGCTTACCCTTGTCGCTAGGCATGGATGCCAGCTCCTCCATGGCACCCCGGTGGTCCTCACGGCTGGCTCGGCCAGAAGGCTGGGGGGATGCCAGGGGCATGGAGGGAGAGCTGGCAAGGTTGCCCGGCTCCAGCAGGGGGAGGGGATGATCGCAGCTGCCGTTCTGGGGAGGAGCTGGGGCCCGATGCCCATCGGGGACTTCAAGGATCTGACAGGGAAGAGAGGGGGAAACACTCTGAGCCCTGGGTCTTTCCAGGTGTGTAGCACTGCAGTGACCCTGGGGGACCTCCCTTTCAGGGGACGCCTCATGCCCCATGACACACACTGACAGCAGAACACCGTGCTTCACACCATTTCTGCCCCCGCCTCCTCACACCTTTCCCTTGGAGCACGGGCAGACCCCTACAAGCTCCTTTGTGTGGATGGATCAATGGGTCACCTGCTCCCCTCACTGCACCCCTACTCTGGCTGGGCCACCAGTGTCACGAGGGCAGGGCCTTTCGAGTGCTGGGCTCCAAGAGTACAAAGAGGAATGGGCTATGGGAGTGGGCACGGTAGGCCAGGCACTGGACACGGTGCGTGCTGTGAACCATCGTTGGCCAGGCATGCAGGCTATGACCCTGTACTAAAGCCCCTCTCTCCCGTTTTCCAGCATTCAGTGAGCATATGTTTGGATGCAAATCAAATCCTGCCTATACCCAAATGCAAATGAAGCCCAGCTGGCAACGGTAAACTGAGGCATGTGCAACTCCCAGCCGTGCTGGGTCTGAGACTGCCTGGGAGGGGAGTGTGGAGCAGGCTGCATGGGACAGTTGGCCGTGAAGGCTGAATGGCCATCACCAGGCGGAGACAGAGGGAGGGCAGCAGGACGAGGCACAGGTGGGCACCAAGTGTGTGCGGAACAGTTTGGCTCAAGAACAACGCTGGGCCCACTCCTGCCAGCTGGGATGGTCGGTCCTTTCTGCCACTCCTCGCCTGGTCTCTTGCTGTATTGTCACTAGCAAGGCTTCCCTGGCTATACGCTGTGCCCCCACCGCTGTCCCTGTGGGTCAGTCCACTCGGGACTGAGCAGCTCACCCGTGCCCCTTCTGCAGGCTGCTGTGGTGTGTTTCACACAGCCACGGCCCGTGTGGCCCCTCTGCCCGCGCCCAGGCCCGGCTGCCTGTCGCTGCCTCCAGGGCTCGGCCGCCACTCACCCTCAGCAGCTCCTCTTCCCCCTGCTCCTTCACAAACACCTCCTCCAGCTCTTGGTTAAGCCCTTCCAGGCTCCTGTGCAGGCAGGGGCTGAGTCTCAGGACAGGGGTCCCTGAGGGGAAGCTGGGAGGGGACGCCTGAGGAGGAAGCAAATGAAGCCGTCACCAAGGCCCGCCGAGTCTCGCAGAGCTGTGGGCTCTGACCAGGGGCTCGTGGTCACGTCTGCATAGCAGAACCAAGTGAGCAGAGGAGGAGCCGGGGACAGTCACAGGTTGCCCGGGGTCTGCTTGCTGTGCATGGCACTATGGGAGGTGTACCTTGTGCGCTCATAGCCTCAGCCACACGGGGCGGCGGGGGTGGAGGACGGACGTTCAGAGCAGTGAGGAGCCATGCCATGTCATTCGCTAAGTCCCAGTGTGGATGAAAACCTCGCCTCGTCCCCACTCGGTCACAAGGGATATGACAGAGTAGGGCTCAGTACCTGTGAGACCATGAAGGACTCTTCCCCCCAGGGGAGGCCTCCATGGAAGGAGACAGAGGGGAGCGGGCTGGGGGGACGTACCCTCAGTGCTCCCCGCACAGCGTGGTCCCCTGGAAGCGGGGACCCTCGCTCCTTCTCTTTCCCGCTCCGGCTCAGCTTCGTCCTCTGCAGTTGCTGCTTCAGCTTGGTGATCTGGCAGCCCGGGGGAGGAGGGGAGAGACAGTTGGAGCAAAGCAAAGGTGCACTGGGCCTCCGCCCCATCCCATGAAGATACAAAATATGAAAGATTAACTTGCATCTTTCAGAACAGCTCTGTGGGGCCTCGTGTCCTGGCACAGTGGGTTAAGCTGCTGCCTACAATGCTAGCATCCCATAGGAGCGCCAGTTCAAGTCCTGGCTGCTCCACTACCCACCCAGCTCCTTGCTAATGAGCTTAGAAAGCAGAAGATGGCCCAAGTACTTGGGCCCCTATACCCATGGAGGAGACCTGGAGGAAGCAGGTGCACTCCCCCAAATGGCCACAATGGCTGGAGCTGTGCCGTGCCAAGCCAGGAGCCCAGAGCTTCCTTCGGGTCTCACTCTCTATATATATAACTAACTTTGCCTTTCAGGTAAATAATAAATAAATCTTTTTTTTTTTTTTTTTTGACAGGCAGAGTGGACAGTGAGAGAGACAGAAAGGTCTTCCTTTTTGCTGTTGGTTCACCCTCCAATGGCCGCCGTGCCCAGTGCGCTGTGGCCGGCGCACCGCGCTGATCCGATGACAGGAGCCAGGTGCTTCTCCTGGTCTCCCATGGGGTGCCGGGCCCAAGGACTTGGGCCATCCTCCACTGCACTCCCGGGCCACAGCAGAGAGCTGGCCTGGAAGAGGGGCAACCGGGACAGAATCTGGCGCCCTGACCGGGACTAGAATCCGGTGTGCCGGCGCCGCAAGGCGGAGGATTAACCTATTGAGCCACCGCGCCGGCCCATAAATAAATCTTAAACAATAACAGCAGCTCGGTGGCATTAGGAAAAGTGATGATGGGTTCCAGGGAGAGCAGGATACCTCCCAACTGGGCTGTCCAATTTCTCTGAATCACTTGCCACATATTCCGTGGACAGGCCCATTCCCCTGAATTGAAAACACGCAACCCTAAAAGCGTTCTGTGCTGCGGATTCCAAAGGCCTGGGACACTGCCCTGCTGACAGCGTGGGAAGACAGTGCTGCCGAACGCTGTGGGCGCGTCCCTCTTCTACAAGGCTCCGAGCCAGGGAGCACGGAAACACTTCCTCTGCTTTAAAACACATGACGCCCAGCAAGGAGAGGCTCTTAAGAAGGAAGACCGGATTTCATCCTGACACTCACATCCTGGAACAACTACAACTGCTGCCCCCATGCTCTCTGTAATTCTGGCCCCTCCTACGGGGGCTTGTGGAGTTAAATCTGAGATCTGCTGCCCACAGCAGTAAACTGGATGGCCACGGCCAAGGAGCACAGTGTTGAGCCCCGCTGTGGGAGACAGAGGGCCAGGACAAAGTGTCTGGAAACGCATAATTATTTTTCTCTTCTTTAAAACTCAGGCTGAAGAGTGCAAGTGGCGAAGGAACTGTGGACTCTTCATTCCCAAGAGCTCGCGCCCTGCCTTCTTCGGGCTCCTTCTCTAAACTGCCTGTCTGGATCTGGCCTTGAAGTAAAGTGAGAACAATGGTGGCTCCAATCCTGAGTGTGGCTGCTGGGAAAGGCTGAGTGGGGGCCGGGGCCCAGAACTGTGCGGCACCTCGGAGCAGACACAGGGGACCGGCCCTGAGAGAGAGAAGGGGCAGCTGCCCTAGCCGGGGTCCGAGGGGCAGGTACCTCTTTTCGGTGGTCTGTGCTGCCCCAGGACGCTGAGCGCTTGTGCGTGCAGGAGCTGGCCCGCTCACCCTCGAGTTCTTGCCAGGACAGCGGGGTCTGCAGGGAGAGCAGCACAGTGAGACAGAGCAGCTTCTCGAGCAGGTGGGAAGCTAACACGGTTTCTCAGGAAGGGCTGGCGCCCCTCAGAGGCCCCTCCCTCCACCTGCCCACCTCCTTTCATTTCGCGCACCCTCAGCCAGTTCTCTCCACCTGCTCCGCCTCCTTCCCCTGCCCCTAGTCTCCAGGATCCCTGCCCTGATTGGCCCAGTGGGCAAGCCTCCTTTTGCCCTTGTGTGGCTTCTGCATGGGTATCATGTCTGCTTGTTCCCGGGGCTTCCCTGCGGTGAGGACAAGTGCTGCCCTTCAAATCCCAATCACCTCCAAAACTGCTCAGGAAGTCACTGGGGTTCCTGACCTCTGACCTCTGACCCTCTGTGAGGATGCGCCCAGCACAGCCCGGGCTTCCTGGCAGCCTGGGGAAAGCCAGCTACCAGACCAGACAGGGTCACATTCAGGCCCCCAACCGAAGCAGGGGACCCCTGTGCAGTGAGGCCTCCTGCTGGTTCCTGGAGTTTTTCCTGTGTGCATACACACAAAGAGTTGAGAGGCCAAAAGTCTTCCGGGAGGGAGGAGACCTGAGCCGAGCCATGATCTCGGGCCCCTCGGCCGTGTCACCCCTGCCTCTCCTGGAATCCACCCTGCCCTTGAGAGGAAAGGTTCTCACCTGCCACCTCCCTTCCCTGCTGCCTGGCACATGGAAGGCCCAGGATGGCCTGGAGGCCGGGGCTGTTAAAGAACCACTTCCCGAGTCCCCACCCAAAGGAAGCCACTGTTGGCTCCAAGTGGGAGGCCCGGCTCCCTCCCCGGCATCCCTGCTTCCACCCCGGGGAGGGGCCTGAGGGGGAAGGCGCCAGTGGAACCAGCTCCTCTCTAGGTTCTGCGTGAAGCTGCCTGGGACTCATCTGCAAGAGCTCTGCCGGCCTCCCTCTGCGAGGGCACCTTCAACAGAACAGGGGGACGAGGAGGAAGCACAGCCACTCGCCACCCAGCAGCTGCTGGAGAACTCGAGGGGGCTGCAGGAGCAGACTGCCGCGTGCGACAGCTGCGGCCAGAGGGCCGCCGGCCTCCTGGCTCTACCTGCTGCTAGCAGCACCCCCAGCACCTTTCCTGGGCTGCGTGACAGCCAAGGCGAGACAACCGCCCCAGCTTCCTGTCCCGTACTAGGGCCACAAGGGACAGCATCCGGGACCCACTGCCCCACAGCTGCCTCCTGAGGACAGGGCAGGCAGCACAAGCCTCAGGCCCCCATCTTGGGCATATACCCCAAGCACTCGGGCTGAAACTGGCTCCAGTGGTGTGCGGAAACCCAGAGGCCGGGCGACTCCCAAACGGCCACGTCTCTCTAAACCAGGGGCTTCTGAGAGCCGGTCCTGAAAGGGGAGAAGGCCTTTCTATCCCACGGCCACCCTGACCCAGCAACACACGAGCGCCCTCCCTTCCCAAGGCCCAGTGCCAGCCCCGTGGGATCCCACTCTGCTTGAGGTGGTGTCCCTGGGAAGGGGGCAGAGGTCACGCAGGAGGGATGGCAGAAGCGAAGGTGACGATGCCTGTTTCCCCTCCTCCGGGAAGATGCTGTGCTCAGCCACATGGTCCTACGGAAAGTCCTGCGACTCCTCGACCACCTCCCTCTCTCTGGGCTATGAGAGAGGGTGGGGAGAGAGCTGCAGGCTGGCACGGCTGTTTAGCAAGGATATGAGAATCATGGCTGCTAGGCCGCTCCCCTGCACAGTCCATTTTACCCCCCGGGGCTCTGATCTCGACACCAGATACCAACTGTTGCTTCCTGTGTGTGAGGTGCACTCCCAAGGCCACCCCTCACTGTCTGGGCACAGAATCACCGTCCTGCCCTTCAGCCCCGGGCTCGCCATGCTCAGCTCTCTGTCCCACCCAGGGAAACCCATCCCCACCGCCTTTCTCTTACTCTAGGATTGCTCTCCCCATCCAAGACGGCCTCGTGGGAACTGCTCTTTCCTAACTTGTGTGTCCTGGGCTGGTGGCTCCCTCGCTCTGGCTCCTCAGTGCAGACAGCCCAGGTCTACACCATTCCTGCACCTGATAATCACTGACGACCTACTGTGTGCCAGCCACGGTTCCAGGTGTCCACTGAACTTATGTTCTAACTAGGGACACTGTTTAGACAGTGTTAAGTGCTAAGGAGAAAAATACAGCAAAGAAAGGGGATAGGAATTGTGGCCAAGGGGGGCAGGACTTGAAATGCCAGGGAACTCTCTGAACACAAGGAAACATCTGACTCCAGACATGAAGGAGGCGAAGGAACAGCCCTGTGCAGAGTGAGGCGAGAGTGACCCAGCCGAGGGAGGAACCGCAGTGCCAAGGCCCTGGGGCTGGCGCAAGCCTCATGTGCCTGAGAATGGGGAGCGCAGTGTGGCTGCAGCAGAGCGGGTCGGCGCAGAGCCATGGGAGAGGTCAGCAGGTGTAAGAGCTAGAAAACGTCCCCCACAGAGATATCAGGAACCCACAGGCGTTACCTGATATGGTCAGTTTTTGTGGCTGTGACTAAGTTAAAGCTCTCAAGATGTGAAAACTATCGTGGGTTTTCAGGCAGGCCCTAGGTGCTCTCTACAGCTGTCCGTATGAGAGAGGCAGTGGGAAATTACACACACAGAAGAGGATAAGGCAGTGTGATGTGGAGGTAGCAGTAACAGTGATGTGGCCACAAGCCAAGGAACGCCAGCAGCCACCAGAAGCTGGGCGAGGCTAGGGATGGACTCTCCCTGGGCCTCCTGAGGGAGCCTGGCACTGCCAACAGCCTGAAACTCATCTTTGACTTCTGTTCTCCAGCACCACAAGAAAATGAAGCTGTTGTTTTAAGCCATGCCACCAGGTTTGAGGCGATTTGTTAAAGCAGCCTCAGGAACCTAACATGGTCGATTCTGCTGTTGAAGCCGTTCATGTGCTACATGCTGGTGTTGAATATTTTTTTTATTTTAAGATTTAGTTATTATTTGAAAGGCAGAGCTACCAAGGCAGAGAAAAGTCTTCCATCTGCTGGTTCACCCCCCAAATGGCCACAAAGGCCAGAGCTAGGCCTATCCGAAGCCAGGAGCTTCTTCCAGGTCTCCCACACGGGTGCAGGGGCCCAAGGACTTAGGCCATCTTCTACTGCTTTCCCAGGCCACACCAGAGAGCTGGATTGGAAGTGGAGCAGCCAGGACTCAAACCAGTGCCCATACGGGATGCTAGCACTGCAGGCAGTGGCTTTACCCGCTATGTCACAGCGCCGGCCCCAGTGTTGAGTATTCTTAAGGCTGGTGTGCACCTAAGTATAGACTTCAGCCTCACAAACAAAGCCAAACTGGCTGCATCAAGAGTGAGGACTGGGGCAGGCACTGTGGCACAGCAGGTTAAGCCGCTGCTGGAGACACCCTCATCCTATACTGGAGTGCTTGGTTTAAGTCCTGGCTACTCTACTTTTGATCCGCTTCCTGCTGGATTCTGTGCCTGGGAAAGCAGCAGCAGAGGATCCAAGTGCTTGAGTCCACGAGGGAGACCCAGATGAAGCTCCTGGCTTTGGCCTGCTCCAGCTGTGGCTATTGTGGGCATTTGGGGAGTGAACCAGAAGATCTCTCCCTCTCTCTCCCTCTCTCTCTCCCCATCTGACAACATAACTCTGCCTTTCAAAAAAAAAGGGAACACGCCATCCTTATTTCCAGTGCACCTGACAGGCCAGGCCAGGACCCTCCTTTCCTGAGTCTAACGGAGGAGGTCTAGTCCAAGGCCTGCTCAGAGCACAGGGAAGTCACGGGTGAGGAAGGCCGTCCTCTTGCCACAACAGGCGTCGGGCCACGCTGCCTGGCAGCACTGAAGTACGCATTTGAGCTGAGCCTTTGGAAGCAGGGCAAGGCTCAAGCCCAGCAGAGCAAACAGGCACGTCTGTCACGGGGACTCGCACACTGGCACAGCCTTGCTGAACACCGGGCCCAGGGGAGCAGCTGGCGGGGGGCAGGGCTGCTTACTGACTGAGTGGCAACAGCCAGCTGTGCAGATCCTCAGATTAGGCCGAACTAGATGTGCTTGGTCCCAGGAAGACCCCAGAGCGATGTGGGGAAGGACAACTGGGCACAGGCGTGGATGACAGCGTCCCAGAGAGCCACCAAACAAAACAGGGAGGGGGACTTGCAGCTGAAAACCCTGAACACCAGAATCTCTTTCTCGGCCCTCGACCCGGCTAAGTTTCTTTCTTTCCTTTTTTTTTTTTAATTTTTTGACAGGCAGAGTGGACAGTGAGAGAGACAGAGAGAAAGGTCTCCCTTTGCCATTGGTTCACTCTCCAATGGCCGCCGCACCGCGCTGATCCGATGGCAGGAGCCAGGTGCTTCTCCTGGTCTCCCATGGGGTGCAGGGCCCAAGTACTTGGGCCATCCTCCACTGCACTCCCTGGCCACAGCAGAGAGCTGGCCTGGAAGAGGGGCAACCGGGACAGAATCCGGCGCCCCGACCGGGACTAGAACCTGGTGTGCTGGCGCCGCAAGGCGGAGGATTAGCCTAGTGAGCCGCGGCGCCGGCCACCAGCTAAGTTTCTACTTGGACTCCATGACTAGCAGCAAGAAGTCCTGGCCCTTGCTGTCCTCGGTGACCTTGCACCTGACTGAGCTCCACGAGCTAGCGTGGGCTGGGCCCCAGGAACATAACTCATGCTACACCTGCGCGGAAGCGAGAGCAGCAGCCTCCACGGTCCGTGGCTGCAGGCCGGGCTGAAACTCATCAGGGAATCAGTCCTGTAGGACTTTGCCAAACGAAAAAGGAAGGAAAAGGTTGAGAGCGAGCGACTGCCAGTGCTGAGAACCCTGGCTGCAGGTGGCCCTACAGTGACTATGCAGCCCTCAGATTTTCCATCATGGTCCCGATTCCAAATAATCGGTGCTGTCATCAGATAGCTAAACATATGCTGAACAACTGGCCGGCGCTGTGCCCAGGCCCCCACACCCACCAGGAAAATCATTTTTGGAGGGCCCGTGACGGTCGCGTTGTACTGGTGTCATCGGTGATGGTGAGAAGATGAGAAAAGGAAGTCTGCCCAAAGCAGCAGGCCTGCCTGTACCTGTGGCCTTCACAACACTCCATGAGAGGGCTAAAGGAAGGAAATATCCCATCATAGAGACTGCAGAAGAACAGAGGCTGGGGAGGAGAACAGGGTGGGGCCGGGCAGGGCGGGTGCCCAGGGTCCCCTCTGTCAGCAGGATGAGGGCAGCAGGGGAACTTTGTTCAAACAGTCATTCCAGCTGTGGTGAGACCACTTCCTCCGGCTAGACGACAGCAAGCAGACCCGACGCCCTGCACACAAGAACAGAGCGGCGACTGCAGTCACCAGCACGTGCTGCCGCCGTCCGCCCTGGCCTGGGACCACTCACCTCCGCTCTGGTTTACCAGATGACCTAGCGGGAGGGCGACATGCTCAGGCAGACCTGAGAAAATCCTAATCCAGCTCTCTGAGAGACAGGAAGCCTCTTCCAGAAGATGCCGGATTCTGCTCCGGGGCCTTCCTGGCAGTACCTGGCCAGCTGCCCTGTGTCCACCTCCTGCTGGACCCACATTCTTCCTCGCACTCACCAGGCCGACCTCTGAGAACCTGGCCACCCCCTCCCACTGCTCCTCCGGCTTCACAAGACGCTACGTCTCCACAGCGCTTCTTCCCAGTGACCACACATCCACGCCTCCGCCTCCATCCTAGAACAAACAGCTTCCCTAGTTAGAGCCACCCAACCCCTCTTCCCTTGTCCCAGATTCTGGGCCACCTACTGTCCAGGGCAGACTGTCAGTGGCCTGAGGATCATCCTCTGGATCTGCCTAAGAGCTTAAAACACAACCTGGAAGGGAACAGTGGGACTGCTGGCAATACTGGGATTCAAGAACTCAAAGTTTTAACTCCATCTTCTGCCCTCTGATGCAGCTGCCAGTGTGCAGGCCTGGCCGGCTGGCTGGCTAAACAACAGGTATAAAAAACTGCTTGCTGCCCAGCTCTGCCACTTGCTTGGAATGGCCAGGGGTTCAGGAGAAAGAGCTGTTTAGCCTAAACTACAACTCTGGCTGTCAACCTCTCTGCAAAGCATGCAGCCGGGAATGCCAGGGCTGCATTCAAACACACAGTCCAGCTGCCAGCGTGCAAGGCTGGGGGTGGGGTGGGGGGCTAGGGAGCAGGAGACAGCACGGGCCAGGTATGGCGGATGTAGCAATCAACTCCTACCCTGGTGCTGCTTGGAGAGACCTGGTAGAGAAGGGGGGTGGGGGCACACAGCCCCCCTCTAGCTCACAGCAACTGGGGAAAAGGCTCTGGCTTCAGTCCATCTTTAACAGCTTAAAAGCTTTCAGAAACTTTGGTCCTTCCTGTCTCCCTCCTCCTCCCCCTCCCCGTACACCCTTGCGTTTCCCAGTGGAACCTCTCCTCCAGCTCTGGTCCTTATGGCGACGGCCCGGGGATGAACAGGGAAGGAACGCGGTTTACTTCGGGAGATGTCAGGGCAGCCTCGGGCCTTCCTAGTGTGACATCAGTGTCGAAGAAGGCAGCTTGTGCCAGGCCAGGGGCCTCAGGCAGGAATCTGAATGGAGCCCAAAACCTAGAAGCAGAAAATTCCCAGCAGGCCAGGGATGAAAGACGGGCAGAGTGCATATTTTGGTTTGGATGCCTGTGTTGATCAGAGTTCTCCCACCTCCTGCCTGCACCCACAATATTGACAGGTTGCTAAGAGTTCCTCGAGGGCTGGAGCCCATCCCGGGGAAAGAGGAAAGCGGTATGGCTCGGCCTGGCCAGACCCACGGAGGCGCAGCGCTGACCTCTGTCTTGCTGTGGCAAGCAGCCCAGACTTGTTATATAAAAGATCTGGCCTGCAGCTGGAGCCCGAGCGAAAACACACAGCCCAGAGCCCGTGCCTCTCAGGCGGGCCAGGGAACATGTGAGGCCAGCCCTGCCTTGCGCTGACAGAACACTGAGCGGGATGGGGCCTTCCTCGAAGGCTGGCGGCAGCAAATGACAGAGATGGTGTAGGTGAGCACCACAGAAGCCATGCCACTGTGAGCTTCACACTCGAAGCAGCCTCAAGCCCTGTTCCTCCAGGAAGCCCTCCTTGACTGAGTGGATTATGTGGACTGAGCACTCCTCTCAAAAGTGTAAGAGATGTGTACTCCCAGGCCTGTGAGGGTGAAGCTAAACCTACCCTACTTGGCCTTTTCAAAAGATCCAGGGACAACAGTGCGGGGCTCCCTGGAAATAGCATGCGACTCTGCCACCTGTGGTGTATTTCCCCTTTGCACTCTGCTCATACAGCTGAAGGGGACCGTCGAGTCCAGCTGCAGCAAATGCTTGTGGGTTCAAGGTAGGGCGTTCCCAGGAGAAGTCCCCTCCTCTGGGCTTTGCCAGACATTTGGCCCCGTCTCATCCCTTGGCTGCCTGTCCACTGGCCTTCATGGAACTGGAATCTAGACTCACAGAGGCCAAGCCTTGTCCTCATTTCCGTATTCTTCATTCCAACAGCCAAGAACAGTCCTGGGCATTCAAACGCCACTAAGAGCACTTGAAAACAGAGCTCATAAAATGAATAGAAGGGAGTGATATGTGCTCAAAGGGGCTCACAGTGAGCTGCACGCAGCACGTTCATGTGTCACTTGACTGTCACACGTCGAGCAGCAGAGCAGGCACGCTCCACACAGTCTGCAAAGGAAGAGCTGACTTGCCCACAATCCCCCAGAATGCAGGAAGGCCTCTGAGCCCAAGGTTCTTCTCACCCTGTTTCTGCTTCTTGAAAAGCAACTCATTTATTCTCAAGGTGAACAGGAATGCAGGATTTAAACTGCATCCAAAGGGAGACCTGGGGAGGGTGTTGTGGCGTAGCAGGTTAAACCATGCTTGCGACACCAGCATCCTATACCAGAGTGTTAGTTCAAGTGGCTGCTCCACCTCTGATCCAGCTCCCTGTTAGTGCAATGGGGAAGCAGCAAATGATGGCTCAGGTACTTGGGTCCCTGCCACCCACGTGGGAGACCCAGATGAAGCTCCTGGCTCCTGGCATCAGCCCGGCCCAGCCATGGCTGTTGTTGCCATTTGGGTAGTGAACCAGTGGGTGGAAGATCAATCTCTCTCTCTCTCACTCTCTCTCTCTCTCTCTCTGTCACACTGCCTTTCAAATAAGCAAACAAATCCTAAACAAGAGGGTAGGGGGGAGACTTGTCTGTTAAAAACTGGTAAGAAAGCTGAAGCCCTCAATCAGATGAAGAAATGTCTTCACATGACTTCGCATGTGAGGTCACGTCTTGCTCAGGCTAACATCTTATCCTAAAATGGACAAACGGACTGAATGTGCTGTGGAGATTCCTTCTAAGCCTAGGATTCTTTTTTCTTTCTTTAAAAAGATTTACTTCTTTATTTGAAAATCAGAGTTACAGAGACAGAAGGAGAGACAGAGATTTCCCATTCGCTGGTTCACTCCCTAGATGGCTGTAACAGCCAGGGCTGAGCCAGGAGCCAGGAGCTTCATCCAGCTCTCCCACATGGATGGCAAGGACCCAAACACTTGGGCCAGCTGCTGCTGCTTTCCCAGGCACATTAGCAGGGAGCTGGATCAGAAGTGGAGCAGCCAGGACACAAACTGCCACCCATCTGGATGCTGGCATTGCAGGCAGTGACTTTACCCACTACACCACAGTGCTGGCCTCCAAACCTAGGATTCTTAATGAAAAGTCTGTCTTAAAGAAAAATACCAAAGGAAAGGATCCCACAGGACTCACATGGGTGCACTGAAATCCTAGCCAGGGCCGCTGGCAAGAAATAACTCTCTATCACCCAAGAACTCGCCACTCCCATTACTCCAACAGCATCTCTCCTGGCTCAGCACACTCCTTGGCCACTTCTTCCAGTTGTCTAGGGAGTGCAAATTCCATTGGTTGTTGGCCTAAGCTTAATTTTAGCTAGGTAAATCTGATTTTTTAAAAACCTAGAATAAATTCCAAAATCAACTGTTGATTAACCACACATGAACACTCAAAGCCAAACTGAAAAACCCAGACCGACCTCTCTCCTCCACCAGCCAGGTACCACGCAAGCTCATTTCACCTACGTTCACAAGCAGAGACAAGGGGTAAACATGGAGGACAGGGTACATGGTGAATATGTCCAACCAAAATCCAGGACAGGTCACCAATAACTAAAGGTTGATAAGCAGACTGCAGGCCTCCTCAGCCAGCCCTCCCTCCCCAGCCCTGTCCCCACCCCCATCATTACCTGGGTGGCTTTGTCATTGGTACAGCAGGTGAAGGCCCCATCGACATCTCGTGGCCACTGGCCCAGAAGGTAGGAGCTGAGGACGGTGTCCAGGGAGAAGGTGCGTCGGACCTGGGGTGGCTGAGGCCGACACACTGACTTTTCTGGAGCCACCGAACACGGGACGCTGGCTGGAAGAGAGCACAGCCCGCCACCTTGACATCAGCATGGAGGAAGGAGATGTGGCAGCCACCCTTGTCTCCTCCAGGAAGCCTCGCCTGAGTGCCCGTCTTTACTGACACCCACCTTTCTCCTAAAAGCTCAGGGGGCCTAGGCGAGCCCAGACAGTGTGGCAAGCGCTTTCCTGACCTAACCAGCTGGCCCTGATCACCATCTTAACTCTATAAATGCCCCCTATCTTCTTCCTGTTCCAAGGAGACTATTGAATGTGAGCTCCTAGGTCTCTCCATCGAGTTTCCCCCAGAGCAGCACTGTTTCCCACCACTAAAGGGAGAACCCTATGTGGACAAAACCCAATTCCCCCCCGCTTTTTTTTTTTTTTTTTTTTTTTTGTCGCTTGCCTGCCTTCTTCCCTCCGGCTCCTATTCCAGGGTTCAAATTTCAATCATCTGGGTTGGACCTGTTTCACCAAATTCACCCCGTGAACTGAGAGGCTCGTCACCCTTCCTTCACAACCGCTCAGCTCCAGGGACCTGAGTGACTGAGCCAAAGGAGGGCTGTGACCAGGTGAAACCACCCAGGATTGAGCAACCTAGTTATGGAAGATATCCAAATCTTTCAGTTCCCTCCCTGTCTCTGCCTTCTTTCTAAATGGGAGAAAACCAAAGCAATTATAAATCCATTCATTTTATTTTTACCGTGGTTAAAGTTTTCTGGGAGAAGCAAAGAGTTGAAACTTGTCAATAAAACGTAAGGGTTCTGGAATCGTCTGGAAATTTCAATCATCTGGGTTGGACCTGTTTTCCGTGGCCACATTCAAAACACTCCACTATCTTAAGATCTACAAAGGCTCTTCCCTTTAAACAGAACAAAATGCTTTCGCATCTGTAGTCATCCCTTGATAACTTATGTTTATATTAAGGCCAGCAAAAACAACAGGGGACTGTCGGTATAAACAAACTCAAAGGGCTTTGTATTAAAAAAGGCACTAAAAGGTTCACAGTTTCTCAAAACTTAAAGGTGGAATTCCAGCGATCCCCCTCGAAGAACTGAAGGCAGGGACTTGAGGAGATACTTCCACACCCATGTCCATAGCTGCTGAGCCATACAGTGGAAGTGGCCCTGGCACCCATGTGGTCTAGCCACACCATGGAATATTGCTCAGTCTTAAATAGGAAGAAACCCCAAACCCGTGATGCAACACAGATGCTGCTCACTGGAAGAGGTCAACCACAAAAGGAAAAGGCCGTGTAGCTTCACGTACATGAGGAGCCACGGAACAGGCACACTCACAGGGCCAGAAGGTGGCTGGAGGACGCTGGGTCTCTGGGCGGGGCCTCTGGGATGTCGACAGAGGTCTGGGAGTGGACAGTGGCGCTGGCAGCCCGACATTTTCGATGTGCTATGCACTACGGAGCTGTAACCCTGACATGTCTGAAATGGTAACCCTTAAATTGTCTCTATTTTACCACAGTAAAGACACTGACAATACCATCTGCATTCTCAAAATTCATCTAGGTATTTACATAGATTTTGACATAGTTACCATCAGCATGAAATGAACTACATTATCTTCCGCCTCATTCTAGCCATTTCACACACCCATTTCCAAGTATCAACAATCCTCATCGCTGTCATTTCTAAAGACGATGTGGCGCTCCAGCAGGGGTGTGCAGTAGTTTGCTAGGCCACTGCTCTGTGGCTGCACTGGGAAGGGAGCCCCCCTCCCACCTGGGCAGCATCCACGTTACCGTACAGCCAGCTTTTCCCTTTGGTTTTGGTTTTTATCCAATCTTTGGCTATTTCTAGGTCAGCTGCCCCAGACATCATACAAGGGTACATCAAAAACTTTGGGACAAATGGAATTAAAAGGTAAGCTTCAGAGTGGGCATTTGGCACAGAAGACACTACTAGGGATGCCCACATTCCAAATCAGAGGCCTAGGTTTGAGTCCTGCCTCCACTTCTGATTCCAGCTTCCTGCCAACGTGCACCCTGGGAAGTAGCAGGTGATGGCTCAAATACCTGGGTCCCTGCCACCCATGTGGGAGACATGGATGAATTCTAGGATCCTGGCTTTGGCCTGGTGCAGCCTCATCTATTGTGGGCATTTAGGGAGGGAACCAGGGAATGGAAGACCTTTTCCTTTCTCTCCATCTCCCTGCCTCTCAGATACAATGAAAAAATAATAAAGAAAAATTGTTTTAAGATGTTAATTTTGGTGGGAAAAAATTAGAAATCCATACTTTTCTTTTCTTTTGACAGGCAGAGTGGATAGTGAGAGAGACAGACAGAAAGGTCTTCCTTTTGCCGTTGGTTCACCCTCCAATGGCTGTGACGGCTGGCGCACTGCGGCTGGCGCACCGCGCTGATCCGAAGGCAGGAGCCAGGTGCTTCTGCTGGTCTCCCAGGGGGTGCAGGGCCCAAGCACTTGGGCCATCCTCCACTGCCTTCCCGAGCCACAGCAGAGAGCTGGCCTGGAAGAGGGGCAACCGGGACAGAATCCGGCGCCCCGACCGGGACTAGAACCCGGTATGCCGGCGCCGCTAGGTGGAGGATTAGCCTATTGAGCCGCGGCGCCGGCCAGAAATCCATACTTTTCATAATACACATTTTCCATGAACTTTTTGAAGACCCCACCATATAATATGTGCTCACTTAAAGCAACTTAAAAATGACTTATAACAACAACAAAAAAAAACCTTCAGATCTCAATACTCAGAGGAAACTACTGTTAATACCAGGAGACAAATATCCTTGTAGGCCTTACCCTTTCTAGGTATGTATGTATGTGTATGTGTGTGTATATACATACATATATATATATACACACACACATATATATATACTTTTTTAAAAAGATTTATTTAGTTATTTGAAAGTCAGAGTTACACAGAAAGAGGAGAGGCAGAGAGAGAGAGGTCTTCCATCCGATGGTTCACTCCCCAGGTGGCCACAACAGCTGGAGCTGCACTGATCTGAAGCCAGGAGCATCTTCTGGGTCTCCCACGTGGGTGCAGGGGCCCAAGGACTTGGGCCATCTTCTTTTTATTTATTTTTTTATTTTTTGACAGGCAGAGTGGACAGTGAGAGAGAGAGACAGAGAGAAAGGTCTTCCTTTGCCATTGGTTCACCCTCCAATGGCTGCTGCAGCTGGTGCGCTGCGGCTGGCACACCGCGCTGATCTGAAGGCAGGAGCCAGGTGCTTATCCTGGTCTCCAATGGGGTGCAGGGCCCAAGGACTTGGGCCATCCTCCACTGTACTCCCTGGCCACAGCAGAGAGCTGGCCTGGAAGAGGGGCAACCAGGACAGAATCCGGCACCCTGACCGGGACTAGAACCGGTATGCAGGCACCGCAAGGCGGAGGATTAGCCTAGTGAGCCACGGCACCAGCCTTGGGCCATCTTCTACTGCTTTCCCGGGCCATAGCAGAGAGCTAGACAGGAAATGGAGCAGCTGGGTCTCCAACTGGCACCCATATGGGGTGCCGGCACTTCAGGCCAGGGCATTATAATAGGATATATTATATACTGCGCACAGCGCCGGCCCCAACATTTTTTTTTTTTTTTAAATTAAAAATGGGATCCAGGGCTTATGATGTGGAGTAGTAGATTAAGCCACTGCTTGTGACACCAGCATTCCATATGGGCACTGGTTTGTGTCCCAGCTGCTCTATTTCCAATCCTGCTTCCTGCTAATGCTCCTGGGAAAGTAGCGGAGGATGGCCCAGGTGCTTGGGCCCTTGCACCCACATGGGAGACCTGGAAGAAGCTTCTGGTTCCTGGTTTCAGCCTGACTCCACCCTGGCTGTTGCAGCCATTTGGGGAGTGAAACAACTGATGCAAAAGCTCTCTCTGGGTCTCCCTCTCTATTTCTGTCTTTCAAATAAATAAATAAATCCTTAAAAAATAGGATCCTATTACAATTATCATTTTGCTATGTTTTCTCACCTTGTATCATAAACATTTTTCCAAATCAATATATACTAACCTATGACACATCACTAAATGTGCATATAATTTCTGTTGAGACCTCTCAAAGGTTCTCTTAGGGAGGGTCTGAAGGCTTCATGTTCTGTTCTCACTCACCTTCCCTTCACGCCTCACTCCTCCTTTAGATCCTGACTTATCTCAGCATCCCCCACGGTGTCTAGCATGCCACCTGCCAGCCCCCAACGTGTGTGAACGAAATTGAAAAACCAGCAGCAGAAGGGTAACCTGCCCTGATCACACCATGGACTCTAAGTGTGTCTGCTCCACACAGCCGTACCCAGCCGTACCCAACCCTCCCACCTTCAGGAAAGACCCTACCTCTTCCCCTTCCTCCCTGAGACCTTGTTACCCAGTGAGGTAGTGACCGGCCTGCTAGGTTCACGCCCCAGCTCTATTACCCCACAGAGGTATTTCAACCACTCATTTTCCTACACTGGATTTCAGGTGGCAACACAGATGATTTCTGGGAGCCTCCAGGCCACACCAACAGCAGCTCAGACACCAATGCTGCCCTGCAGGCCCCGTGGGCCTCTGGGAAGCAGACTTAAAAAATTACACGACAGACAATCAGAGAGGCAGGTGGGACACAGATGAGCAAGAACCCAGCATAAAGGCTACAATGTCATAATCCTAAAAGCCACCCCATCCTTGTCTCAAAGGACGAGGCCTGATTCGGGAGCTAAGAAATTAGCAATGAGAGAGAGAGTTCTTGGAGCCCCACCTATCCCACGCCCTCGGCTCAAGCCACTGCAAAAATCTCTTTTAGACATTTTCCTTGCTGACCCCTTAAACACTACAGTGCTTTTCATGTTTTGCCCCAGCCCATTTGGTACATGATCTTTCACCTTCTTGTCAGTTCTAAAAGGGGCCTGCGCCAGATTGAGAGGAAAACTGAGGCATGAAGAGGTCTGATCCACAGTCAGTAAACTCCACTACCCAAGCAGTCAGCAGTGGGCCCAGACCTAACACAGCTGCCTTCCTCCTACGTCAATCCCACATCCCCCAACTCTGCCCTGAGG